GCATCACCAATTGTTGTGGTCCGAAAGAAAAATGGGGACATAAGACTGTGTATAGACTATCGGAGACTGAATCTACAGACCGTCAAAGATGCATACGCCTTACCAAATCCTGAAGAGTCGTTTTCCGCCTTGACGGGATCAAAATGGTTCAGTGTTCTCGACTTAAAATCAGGGTACTATCAGATCGAGATGGCTGAAGCCGACAAGCAGAAAACCGCTTTTGTTACCCCAATTGGATTCTGGGAGTTCAATAGAATGCCCCAAGGAGTAACAAATGCCCCCAGCACTTTCCAGCGACTAATGGAAAAATGCATGGGGGACTTACATTTAAAAGAGGTCCTAGTCTTCATCGACGATCTCATTGTGTTTTCAAGATCATTGGAGGAACATGAGGAGAGGCTGTTAAGAGTGTTACATCGGTTGAGGGAGTACGGATTGAAATTATCCCCAGAAAAATGTAAATTTTTTCAGACGTCTGTGCGGTACTTGGGGCATGTTGTCTCGGAGAAAGGGGTGGAAACTGACCCAGACAAGATTTTAGCCCTGAAATCCTGGCCAGTCCCCAGAACTTTAAAGGAGCTTAAATCGTTCTTGGGGTTTGCCGGATATTACCGGAGATTCATAAAAGGATATGCTGGTATAGCTAAACCCTTAAATGATCTCACTCGAGGTATGGCTCCTACCTCCAAGGCTCGACGCAAGTCTACCCCAGTTAAGAGCCTGGTTCCAAACCAGCCATTCGGTGAACGATGGTCTCCGCCCTGCCAGGCTGCGTTTGAGATGCTTATAGTAAAGCTGACCACTTCCCCAGTCCTCGGGTTTGCTGATGCCAAGCTTCCCTATATACTCCATACTGACGCCAGTACCACCGGGCTTGGGGCAGCCTTATATCAGGAGCAGGACGGGGAATTGAGAGTCATTGCATACGCCAGCAGGGGCTTGTCCCTCAGCGAGTCAAGGTATCCAGCACACAAGTTAGAATTCCTTGCCCTCAAGTGGAGTGTGACAGAAAAGTTTCATGATTATTTGTATGGTTCGTCTTTTGTTGTAGTGACCGACAATAATCCCCTTACTTATCTGTTAACATCTGCAAGGTTGGACGCTGCCAGTCACCGATGGCTTGCTGCCCTGTCCACATACACCTTTAAGTTGCAATATCGGGCTGGAAAACAAAACCTTGACGCGGATGCATTATCTCGCCGCCCTCACGAAACTATTGCTGATGATCAATCTTACAATGACTTTGACGTGATTCACCATTTCACACGTGACCATCCCTCCGACTTGGAGGAGATTGATCCCTCCATTGTTTCAGCAATCTGCCACAGTTGTCTGATGCGCGCCAGTCTTCCGGCTCCCTCATCAGACAGTTTCATTGCATTGATCGAGTCCTTAGGTGTGTCGGCCGATGCGATCCCAGAGTGTTACTCCAGCGAGGACAATCATGGGCTGCCGGTAATATCCCCTTTATCGCATCATGACATCAAGGAGAGGCAGGAAGCTGACCTGGTCCTTAGAGAGGTCGTCCATCAAATTCGGACGGGAGAGAAGGTTCTCCCAGCTGTACGTGAAGAACTCCCCGATCTCTGCCTCTTGTTGAGGGAACTGACTCGTCTCGAATTGCACAATGAGGTTTTGTACCGGAGGAGGGGTGTTGGAGAGGACATCACATACCAGCTGGTTTTGCCTGAAGACTTGAGATCTACTGTCCTCTCAAGCCTGCATGACGATATGGGCCATTTGGGGATTGATCGGACTCTGGACTTAGTGCGTTCAAGATTTTTCTGGCCCCACATGTCTGCTGATGTGGAGCAAAAGGTTAAGACCTGCCCCAGGTGCGTAAGGCGAAAGGCTTTTCCTGAACGGGCAGCGCCCTTAGTCAACATCAAGACCTCCCGGCCTTTGGAGTTACTGTGCATGGATTATCTGTCATTGGAGCCGGATCAAAGCAATACCAAGGATATCCTCGTTTTCACGGACCATTTTACAAAATTTGCTGTGGCAATACCGACTGCAAACCAAAAAGCCAGGACAGTGGCAAGGGTCCTGTGGGAGAATTTCATTGTAGTGTATGGGATCCCTGAGCGTCTCCATACCGATCAGGGGCCGGACTTTGAGTCGAAGCTCATTAAGGAACTGTGTCAACTGGCTGGTATTGTGAAGACCCGGACCACCCCTTACCATCCCCGGGGAAACCCGGTCGAGCGATTCAATCGCACTCTTCTTAGTATGCTGGGAACATTGCAGCATAAACAAAAATCCAGATGGAAGGAGTATGTGCGTCCTTTAGTACATGCATACAATTGCACGAAGAGCGACGTTACCGGATTTTCGCCATACGAGCTGATGTTTGGCCGATCTCCACGACTTCCTGTCGACTTGGCTTTCGGGTTGCCGGTTCGTGAACGGAACTCAAAGAGCCATTCACAGTATGTGGAAGGGTTGAGAACAAGGATGGAAGAGAGTTTTCTGTTAGCTTCCAAAAATGCTGCCAAGTCTGGAGAGAAAAACAAGAGCCGGTTTGACCAGCGCATTACTCCGTCAAAGTTGATGGAAGGTGATCGAGTGTTGGTTCGGAATGTGCGCCTTCGTGGGAAGCACAAGCTGGAGGACAAATGGGAGGACAGTGTCTACCTTGTTCTTAAACAAGCTGGTGACCTACCAGTCTACACCGTGCGGCCGGAAGACCAGCCGGAGGGACCAGCTCGCACCCTGCACAGGGATCTGCTTCTTCCATGTCCCTTCCAGTCAGCCAGAGAAGATCCATCTCTTCTGCAAGAGACTCCTCCACGCCGTCCTCAGACTCGGAGCCAGAGACCGGTATCAGATGTGTCCAATGCTGTCGTGGAGGAGGACGAGGAGGATAATGGTGATGAAGAAGGTGGGTCGGGTCCATTCCACATTGAACCGATCCCAGTCACAAGGGAAGATCTTGATCCCAATCAAAGCCAGTCTGCCTATAGTCCCGTTGACCTTGAACCTTACTTACCTGAAGAAGTGAAGTCTTCTGTCATTCCGGACGGTTCTTTACCTGTGGAAGGCTTGGAAGCTGTTGATGGAAGCTTACCCGAGGCCGAAGACGGAATCCAACTTATTGGTGTACCGAATCCTGAAAGAACTCCAGTTTTCCCAAACCCGGTAGAGACATCCCCCAATCAATTTGAGCCATTGCTCATCCACACGGACGTGCCCGATGCACTTCTTGCTCCTGAAATTGGAGATTCTTGCCTTGTTCCTGAAGTTTTGATTAGACGTACTAGCCGACCACGCCAGCCACCTGATCGGTTGCAATATTCGTCTTTAGGGAATCCGCTTGTGTCCGCCGCCCAAACTTTATTTCAGGGGTTAATTGATGCATATAGTGTGGTACTTGCTACCCCTGCAGCAAACGGGTTCTTGCCGTCTCGCGTACACAACGTTTAAGCATGCACCGGGAGTTGCATGAAATAGGGGGGGAGGATGTAACCCAGGTAGAAAACCCTGTGAGTTTATTCCCTTCTTAGATCAAATCAAAAAAAAGTGTTATATTGATAATTGTATTGAGCATTGTAATAATTAGTATTATATTGAATTGAATGCATCTCCGCGTCACGTGACTGTGCGCTATACTCTCATTGGCTTATATGCCGGCAGTAGCACACACACCCGTAACGCGAGGTTGAAGCTGGGAGGGTGAATTGCTGCAGGAGCCGAGGACTGGGTCCGTGCTACTTCTCAGAGCGAGTAAGGCAGAAGTTCGGGACTAGGCCTTGTCAGATGGCGAGCTAGAGACCTGAACTATTGGAGTCATCATCTCGCTTAACTCCACTGGGCTCTCCACAAGGGGTCCACATTGTCCTCTTGGGACTCAGGAGTCAGCGGAACTTCATCTGCTCTGAGCAGGACGGGTAGGAGGCTCCTGCAGCCGCCTTCTTTAATTTTCATAACCTCAACTCTTCCTCTGGTGCCTCGGTCCGTGGCGACCGCGTCCAACCGTGTTCCGCGCTGTGTGGAATATTTTCGCTCTCAGGGAAATAAGCACTGAATGGACTATTGGAATACCGCTTGAACTTTTGTTGCATTTGTGACTTTTGTTGCATTGGAACTGGACTTTGTATATATCGTATGGCTATTCACTGGGGTTGGGTTGTGGGGTAAATGTTCTCTGTGTCCTTGTCTTATGTGTGTGCAATATATGGTACCAACAAAACCCAAAAGACTGTCTTGTGTATGTTTCACTCACTCCCAGAGCCGATACCCAGCTCTTCTGATCTAGCCAATTGATGTTCTCTTGTTGAAAAAAAAGTCTAGTTAACCCAGGGACCGGTTACATATATCTTTGAAGAATTCGTTTGATCTGTAATTCATTATATTTCCATGAGAAAATTTTCAGTCAAATCTTTTTTTTTTTGCTTTAACCCCTGGATGATGTATTTATTGCCAACAACTGATGTTTATAATAAACATCAGTTGTTGGCATTAAATAGATATAAATTATATGTATGAGCGTATAAAGGCGCTTATAAAAAACGCTTATTAGTGATCATTCTATGATTCATATAGATGGTTCAGGCTCAGGAATTTTTTCAACTTTAACCCATGGGAATGTTCAATTAGGGACTGGCATGGTCGGTCTGAATCAAAAACATGGCTGCTTACAGTGATGAACTATTGTGGAACTGTATACATGTGTGAATATGAGTAGAATCTTGAATTGAGGTTTGTTCTAAATATTTTATGGCATGCTTGTCATTTACTGTTTACTCAGCTCCCACAGAGTTGGCCGAACATGAAGGAGAAATCTTTTGTTTTCAGTCAAGATTCTTGTTCAGGATTGTGTTGTGTTTGTTTACTTTCTCATTGGAACAAATATTCAGGCTGAAAAGTGTCCCAGTGCCAGAAATGTGACTTACATTCTCAATCTGTTCAGTCTCTGCAGTCCTGTCTTGGTGTACCAGGCTTTTCCCTGTGATCAGCTTTTTAGCGGTAGCTGGTCCCTTTACAGCTGTGCTCAGGCCTGGATGTGCCGTCAGTGCTGGTGCGTCCCTCCAGAGTCTCCGTACCATCTGCACGGACATACGGCCATGGATCAGTCTGACGCTGTACACTCCTATAAGATTTACCCCAGCCCTTACTTCCTTAAAAGCGGTGGTACTAGTTATTTGATCGTGTTATTTTATGCATGAAAATATGGTGTCCAGCTGTAGCCCAAGAAGCAACGTAGAAGTAGAAGCGTTTCTTAAATGCTGCAGAATTTTTATCTTCAGCAGCAATTTTAGCAAAACCTTTTCAAATTGCACGTTTTTTCCTCTTTATACATGCAGTGTGATTAGTGGTTTCTGTTTATGATCACAGCTCTGGGGATTAAGGGAGCACACTGCCACTCTCCAGATCTGTGGCAGTATCAATCGAGTTAAATTTGCTGTTCGAGGAAAGAGTGTGATGGAAGGCCGCAGGTGACGATGGTAAAACTCAATTTCGTGCCATGATGTGGCGGTGACAACACAAGGTTTAGAGTCACACCGGGGCCAGCAGCCAGCAGTGTGATCAAGGACGGCGCTTGACATTCAAACTGGGCTCGGTCTTTGTCCCCTGCAGTCACAGCCAGGGACACAATCTAGAATGCATGTTGTTCCTGTGAAGCTTCCGCAGCACAATAAATGAGAGTGCGTGACTTTCAAAGTGTTCAGGGGCTTCTCATTTTGCAGCTCAGAAAAGATGTTCCGTACGTCGGTATCTTTTGTCATCCTCAGGACCACCTGCCGTCTCATGACTAATGGTTGTGTACCCAAGTACTCCGCTTGAACTTGGTCTGCATTTGTCCCTTTGTCCCATCCGTAACCTCTATACTCCTGTGATGTGGTCAGCTTTAACAAGCTTCAAGCCATGCCATAATCATTTCCATTATCATTGATTCATGTGAACGACTGCAGGGGACCGGCATAACACTAAGAAAAAAGAAAGGGAGGTTTGAAATAAAACTGAACAAAATAAAAAGGTAAACAAGAGATGGTACTCCCTAGATGCCATTTTAAAATTATATAATTAGTTTTTTATGTACCATTTCAAATTAAGTTAAAATGATTATCCACTGGGGACATGGATTATATCTATCAGACAAAAATCTTCCGTCTCATTTATGACTCTAAATCCTCCCTTTCTATGTTTGCAGTTACCTGGAGGACGCAGTGATGAATCTGGACCACAGCGACCCCATGATGCGCGATCACATGACCGCCGTTCTGGCCCAGGTGCGGCCCAAGCTCTACACGTACCTGCAGCAGGACGCCCACAGTGCGCTGAGCAAGAGGGCGCGCCGCCTCATGATGATGCTGCAGGGCCTGGTCAACCACTAGTTCGCACACACTCACACACGCGCTGGGAACTCTCCAAGCTCCCTGGTTGCACACGCTTCTTTGTGTTGCGGTAAAGGAAATAGTTGAGTATGCGGCACAAAGGACAGCGTGGGATTGAAAAGATTCCTCCCCAGACGGATTTTTTGGTTACATTTTCATCATGCTGATTTGTCTTTGCAGTAGCCCTTGGAGGCAACGTTTTTTCTTTCATCGTAAAGGCTGATTTTGTTGAAGCACACGTCAGCAGTTACTAGACAATATGAATGTCAGCCCAAACAAGTCAACATTGGCAAAGAATCCAGGTTTTGTTCTAGGCTGGGACTGCTGCAGGGCCTGTCCTACAATGCTGTTGTGCCTGCGATAGTTTGCGTTCATACCATCTGGAATTTTGGCATGTCACATTTTTTCCCCATACACAACAAACATGGAACTTGTTCAACTGTAACCAAGCAACCAGAAGTATGTCTTGGTGTTATTTCCTAATGGGCTCGAAAAAACAGCACCTTGTGTCTTCTTCGGAAGTGATTCGAATGTCCAGATGTTTGCAAACGGAGCTGAATGCTGTCCAGAAGCCCATTATGAAGCCCTCCACATTATATCAAGGCTCTCTCTGCAACTGATACGTCCTTTTTTACTATTTGAGAATCTTGGATCCAGCGTGTCAGTCGTCCCATGTACAGTTCTGTCCAGTGAATCAACCAGATTATGCTGCGCTTTCTTCAGTTGCTCTTTCATCCGCAATTAGTATTTGATGTGTATTCTTTTAAGAGGTGTCTAACTAAAACCGACTCTTCTTACTGTTATTATGAAGATAGTATTCATTTTATCAGGATCTTTCAGAATATGGTAGTGAATTAAATGTGCAGTTATGCGTCATAGTCTCTAGGAGGCAGCACTTGGTTGTAGTGCAGCAATCCTTCCTGCTTTGCTCTTCTTTTTGTAATACAGAAATCATTCCTGGTCTTGAAGCTTCTACAGACTCTAATTTCTAAGCAGTTCTTTAGGTTGAAAAAGCGTTTTATTTGTTATTGTGTAAGATAATATATGTACAGCTCATGTGCAGAGATCATAGTTTAAGTATTGGGGATCCAGCTATTTGTGCTGATACCTGATCAAGTTTGAGTCAGTTCCATTGGATTTGTCTAGCAAGTGCCTTATCGGACAGTCTCATTTGTCTAGATTAAGATTCCTTTACGTTTTGTTATTTAAAATATAAACGGTTTGAACCAAGTTGCAGCACTGAAGAGGACTTGTTATAGTAGACTACTGCTGTTTTTCTTCTAGGCTTTGGAGTGTCTCAAAACACATGCAACAAATACGACTAAGGCTGCGTCCTTTCTGTTCATATAAACATCTTGTTCTGTTGTAACTTTTACAGTTTTACCCTAAACATTTTTTAATAAAAAGGCGTTCATTCTTTTCTATTTTTATTGTATTCATTGATCTCTTAATCTCAAATGTTTCTCAAACTGTGGTATGAGCAACACTCCTGTAGACGTTTTATATCGCTATCAGAATTATTTTCTTTGGCTCAAACATGTAATATTCTACATTATTTTTATTAAAATGGCTTAGTTGAAGCATTCCATATGTTCCCAAACCTGTTTTATATAAATCAGATATTTAAAGTTATCTTTTTTCTTAGCCCTTGTGCTACCCTCGGGTCAAAATTATTATTTTTAATCACTGGTGGGTCAACCTGAGGATAGCACAAGGGCTAAAAGTATTTGTGTGGGTTTGTATCCTAATGCGAGGGCACGGCAGGGACTACTTGAATTTAAAGTATTAACTTACTAACAGGTTTATATGGGCTAGCATGATGTAATACATTCTTTAATCTTCAAAGTACTCTTATAAAATAAAGGAGATATAAGCCTTTTTGACTTTTGGTCCAAAACTCTTCAAATATCTACATGGTGAATGAATGAGCCTGCACATATCATTTTCACAGGAAACAAGAAAACAAAAGCACGTACAGGGGTTGAGGAAGGGGTTAGAGGAATAGAAATGCTTATTAACCGAAACCCCCCTCACCCAGAAACCCCTGAAAGTAGATCAGTTAAAACAGTCTTTCCATGAAAAAACTAAGATGTCACTTTGATACAACATTAAGTCTGATACCAGATGTGGCCCCTAATCAGCTTTTATGTTTTTGAATCAAATCTCAAAAGTGCGACGCCTCGGGAAAACAAAAGAAACTCAGTGTGTGGGGTAGGAGATCTCAGTGAACCACCATGTTTGACCAGTGGTTCCCAACCTCTGTTCCCTGTGTTCGCCTATGTCAGGGGCCTGCTGTTTAGGGAGAAAACAAATATTTCACATACAGGGGCCAAGGGATCAAACTCGGGGCCACAACTGTTTTTAGGCTTTCCTGTTGCAGGGTCTTACAATATGAAGGTATTTTGATCAATTGTTACTATAACTTGAGCACAAAATGAGTACCATGCGTGGACTCAGCCAAAACTAACCCAAAAGTGAGAATGACTTTATTGCAAACGGACCAAGTACTAGTATGGTTTTCTGTGGTCAAACTGTATATTTTCTTTTTTCAGACCATTCCCTGTAAACCCTAGAGATGGTTGTGTGTGAAAATCTCAGTAGATCAGAAGTTTCTGAAATACACAGACCAGCCAGTCTGGCACCAACAACCGTGCCACGTTCAAAGTCACTTAAATCACCTTTCTTCCTCATTCTGATGCTCAGTTTGAACTGCAGCAGATTGTCTTGACCATGTCTACATGCCTAAATGCATTGAGTTGTTGCCATGTGATTGGCTGATCAGGAATTTGCATTAAAGTGGAGTTGGATAGGTGTACAGTGAGTGTATATGAACCATGCTTCTCAACCCATACAACACAACTACATCCCTGAAGTTAGCAGTACTGCATTTTGAGAAGCACTGTACCAGGACATGTAAAACTTTTGACTTTGTGTGTGTAGGCTGTGGACCGCTGACCCTTTACCCCTCCTTAGTTTGTATATGATCCATACACAACATAGATAATTATGAAACAATAACAGGAAAATGACATAATATTCCAAAGATAAGATAATAATGAGTACAATCTGACAATAAATCGTTTAACCGGTGTGATTCTCATTCTGTGTGGCCATATTTCCGTTGGCGCCTGAGGCAGAATGAGGTTAGAGCCAAACAGCGAAGCTCCGCACACAGACAGACTGCGATGGCCCCCAGACACACACACACACACACACACCATTGGCTCGGTCTGACTTATATGTTTATGTGTTGACTTATTTGGGCATGCAGCAGAAGGAAGAGATCAGATGGACAGAGAGAAAGCGCATTGAAATGTAGAGAAACAGAGCTGATTGGAAAAAGAGGAAGGGAGGGGTGGAACAGTGTGAAAACAGAGTTTTTCCTCCCCTTATTTTTCATTGCCAGGGGTCTCTGGTGGGATTGACAGTAAAAGAAAACAACACGATAAGCAGAAGGCAAGTCCTCTCTGCACCCACAAACTGTTAATGACCGAGCTGGTGCTGTCCCTAAATTACCCCCATACAGACACAAACCACAACTGCTATTGCAATTTTTGACCAGTGCATGTGTTTCTCTTCTTCCTTAAAGCCTCTAATGTACCATTTACAGAAACTGCTCGCCTCCTCCTACACCAACTGACACTTCAGATTGAGGTAAGAACCGCCACAAGCAATTCTATGTATGCTTTAAATGAGCAATTGAAACCTCCGCAGCTGCTTTTTCCCTTGCTCCCTACGGTCAAAGACACATGATGCAAGGTCAAGAATGTAATATTGACGCTTCCACCTGCACGTGATTCCTCTCGCTGATTTCTGTGTGTAGGTGGTGTTGTTGTGGCGTGTTTGTGTGTGTGTGTGTTTGTCTTTAGATCGGCGGTTAAACATATTCAGCAAGCAGCGGAGAGATGACCAGCCAAGGTCAAGGCCGAGTCAGTGGCAAGACAATTTGTTCCGCTCGGAAATCCTCCCTCCTCTTGGGGCTCATGGATCAGCTCATGTACGAGATTTAAAAGGGCCGCAAATAGACGTCTCTACTTATGAGTTATTATAGTGCAGCAACACATCATTAACGTGATCACATTCTGTACATAAGCTACCATTGCAAGAGATTAACACAAGTGCTTAATATAGTGAAGAGACTACTTGCTATTCATTATTGTGATTGTATCAGTCCCGCAATATTTTTTCTCGCACGTTCATTCTTTGTTCTCATAATTCAGTGGAAAAACAAAGAATTAACACTTATTTCTTGGTGTTTCTTCATTCATGTTTCCCTAATGAAATTGAGACGTAATTGGTGAACTGTGAGTAGTCCCCTACTTACTTTAACCAGTAAGGAAAAATATGCAATGGATTTGTTTATTTTTATTAACAGAGGCAGTGAACAATAAATAATAGCGGGGAAAAAATACATAATTGTCCCATGTTAAAGCAGAAGAAGAGCTAGTTAACATCTGTAGTCCCCACATGACCACATTATATACATTATCACACAGTACAGTGCACTTGATAATCTCAGCTGGGACTGAGGTACAGTGCATAAACATAGTAAAAACCTAAAGATTGTATTTGTTTATATGTTTTGCTGAAACCCCAAAGACACGTAACAAACAGCTGTGAAGAACTAAATAAACATGATTAAGCTAGTGAAAATGTGGGACATACAGCAATATTTCTGAGTGCATTCAATTGCCTTTAAAACTTTTCTAATGATGCTTAGAACCTTGTCAAAACAATTATGACGCCACCTGTCTGGAATCTATATATACAGCTGTTCAGTGAGGGACTCAGCGCTATCGGTGGAATGTATTTATAACTTGACCGTGGAATGTATTTGTAACTAAACAGTGGAGACGTTTGAAGCATGGTTAGGTCAAACATTTCCAAAACTTTGAACATGTCATTTTTTTTCTGAAAGGGTAAAGAGTATGGCACAACTGCAAAGCTACCAAGACTCGGATGCCTTTACCCAACATGTGGAAGAAGATTCTGTGGTCAGA